TCCACCCGGAGTCCCTCCTCACCTGCCACATGTCCCTCGGGCCCTTTTAGGCCTTGAACCGAGCACGGCTCCACTCTTAACTCCCTCTTGGCCTAGCCCAGACCATGCCTTACTGTGCTGCTTGCAGGTGGCTGTCTGAGGAAGCCGCAGGGCTCGGGTGGTTCCCTCCGTGCAGGGGAGACAGATGGGCCTGTTCAGGAGACAGGAGGACAGGCGCGCTCAGAGGCCGCAGACGGCCTGCTGTGCCCTGGGCCTCCAGCCCACCTGCCCCCGCACCTCGGGGACCCCCGGCCTGCTCACCTCAGGGTCTGGTCATACTTGAGCTTAGTCTTCAGCTTGACGAGGGCCACATCGTAGTCATAGAACTCGGGGACCCCTTCTGCCGTCTTCCCATTGATGTTGTAGTTGGGGTGAAATAGGACCTCTTCAATCTCCAGGTCCCGCCTCTTCCCTCCTGAGAGCAAACGGTACTACGCTCAGTAGGCAGCCTCCTGCCTCTGGCCCCTTATCGTTGGCGAGGGTCTGAGGCAGGGGCCGTGCTGAGGACAGGCGAGCGTCCTGAGGGTGGCTGGGGTCAGAGGCTTGCCGCGTCCTTACCCACGCTGACCTTGATGGAGTGCTTCTGATCGTCCACGGTGAAGCAGTGTGCCGCTGTCAGCACAAAGTACTCAGACACCACGGCCCCCATGCAGTTCTCATGTCCTTTCAGAGGGCGCTGGCGGAGAAGCGGCGTGCTCAGCCTCCACCTGAGCGCCGGAGGCTGGCTTCGTGTGTGCTCGCTCAGTACTCTAGCCCTGCTTCTCTCTCTCTTTTTTTTTTTTTTTTTTTTTTTGCTTTCAGACAGTTTTGCTGTGTAGCCCAGGCTGACCCTCAAACCTAAGGGAGCCCTGCTTCCACCCCCAGCCCTGCTTCCACCAGCACATGCCCACACAGAGCTGCTGTTTTCAGACAGTTTCGCACATTATTGGTATGGACTGTGGACACGGCGTAGCCCATGCAGGTCGGGAGGCCCTGCCCTGCCTTGGCTTCCTGGACAGCCAGGATTAGACCTGGCTGGTGTGGACGTTTCACCACTCCCACAAGTCCCCATGGCTGGGATGCTTACAGTGACCGAGATCTTTGCCTGCCACGGTTGCTTGTGATAATCGGTGCCGTCCGTGTGCCCCCACACCATGCCACAGAGCCCCAGAGACTTGGATTCATCTAGCAGGAAAAGAGAATGCTGAAGGCTCTGTTGGCTCCCTGCATTTTCGCAGGCCGCAGAGGGCCACAGAGGGCCACAGAGGAAGGGGAGGGGCTCCCTGGGTTAGATGAGGAACCCCGGTGGAGTAGTGAGAAAGGACCGAGACCAGGCTATCTGAGGACTGCGCCTGGTCAGCCCAAGTCCTGGTGCTGACTTGCTGTCCCTGAGCCTGTGTGGCCTCAGTTTCCACATCCATAAAATGGCTTCTCAGAGTTCTCAGACTGAGATTAGGAAGTGAGATAAGAGTAAACACTGCTGGTGGCAGCGGCGGGGCTGCAGGGTGAGGACAGAGAGCCTTCCAGATTGCCAGGGCTTTGGGGGGAGGGCAGTGGGCAGCCTCAGTCCAGCCATGCTTCCCCATACGTGCCCCTGTGTGTTTGTACCAATCATTTGGAAGAAGACGTCCTCCAGGTTCTCCATGTCCTTGACCTTGAACACGTGGCGCTCGTTGTCCTTTTTGGAAGCCAAGGCATTGATGTTCACGGGGTCCACCAGCGGCCCCACCCCAAACACGTACACGTCTGAGGGAGAGGAGGAAAGGCTGAGTGTCCAGCCCCAAGGGCTGAGGGAGCTGAACCCTGTGGGCCACTCACCCAAATAATCCTCCCGTGGGTTTTTGCGGTCCCTGCCGATGTACAGCAGGTCTCGGATGTCTTCAATGACAGCGACAGGGTCTCCGCCCATGTTGTACAAGCCTGCACAGGGCACAGGGACCACAAAAGTGGGCCAGGGCAGACACGCTGGCCCAGGAGCTGGGGGACCGTGAGGGAGGAGAAGCCTCACCATCCGTCATGATGATGATGACGTGGCGGGTTCGGTTCCAGCCCTCCGGCGGGGTGTCCTCTGCCCAGCTCATCATGCTGTACACGGCCTGGAGAGCCTTCTTGGTGTTGGTCCCCGACTTCAGCTTGTGGTCTGTAGAGAGCAAAGAGCTCATTCCACTGATCTTCCAAGCCATGAGCCCAAGAAGTCTATGACAACTGAGATCCCACATTCTTTAACTTTTTGTTTGTTTTTTAGGGTTTTGCTTTGCTATGTAGACCATGCTGGCCTTGAGCTCACAAGAGACCCGCCTGATTTTTGAATGTTGGGATTAAAGGCGTGTGCCATCAAGTCCAGACGATGTTTAGCTTTTGTTGTCAGCCCCTCACCCTGGCTCTCCCTGCCCTCCCAGCTTCCCCGTCCCTAAGCTCTGACCTTCATAACTGATCTGGTTGAGCTGCTCCGTGACCCAGTCGGCATCACTGCTCTTTTCATCAGACACTCTGACCAAGATTTTGGGGACTGTGGCATATGTCACGAGACCATATCTGGGCCTCACCCCGTAACTCGCCACCTGTGGGTGAACAAGAGGTCGGGACATTAAATGGAGGACAGCGAGAGCCAGAGTAAGAGGCTCAAGGGCAGGAGGGCAACAGGACCTGGAGCCCGAGCATCTGGGACACAGGGAGCCAGTCCTCAGGCAGTGAGGGCCACAACAGGTCCTCTCCTCTCAAAGGGAGGGGAGCCCCGCCCTAGCCCTACCTTCTCAATCAAGTTAGCAAGACAGCGCTTGGCCCCTGTGAAGTTGCTGGCTCCAATGCTGTCTGATCCGTCCAGCACCAGGTAAATGTTCATGGAGCCCGAAGGGTCCAGGACGATCTTCCTCTTCTGTTGTTCCCCTGGGTTCCAGCAGACACTCAGCCTCCAGCCTCCGGGGTGCACACTCCCTGGTGGGAGCGCCCTTCCCCAGCTTCCCGCCCGCCTCCCTCCTGCACGCAGACCTGGGCTATGGCCGTCCTCAGCATCCACTCCTTCTATCGTCTCCGTCAGAGAGGACAAGAATGCCTCCGCCACCTCCTCAGGGGTGTCGTACATGAAGGAATCTGAGGACAAAGCAGGTCAAATGTCTGAAGTGTTAGGGCAGAGTGATGAGACCCAGGACGGGAGACAGCTAGCGTGGAGACAGCAGGGCAAGGGCTGACCCAGGGTGCCGGTCAAGGGTCACCTTGGCAGGAAGGCTCAGTCCCGCTCCACGAGCCACCTTCCTGGCATCTTCGCTGCTGGGAGCCACGCAGGACAAGCCCCCGGCTGCACTGGTAGGTAACTGTGTCTTCAAGGCGATACTGGCTGCCCACCTTCCTTGTGCCAATGGGAATCCCCGGGTTGGGACAGTATCCCGCTGCGGAGACACGAGGACAACCTGAGTGTTCCTGCGTTCCCGGGGAGAAGCCCTCGGGGAGAGGGTAAATCAGGGGTACCTGCTTCTCACCTCCATCATCACAGATCGCTGTCTGCCCGTCCCACCGGCCATTCGCCTGGCAGGTGCGGTTAGCAGAGCCCCGGAGAGTGTAACCGTCGTAGCATTGAAAGGAAATCTGGTCACTCAGGTTGTAGTAGGGCGACCGGGGCCAATACTCCCCATTTTCAAATTCCTGTGGCCGTGGGCAGCGGATTGCTTTAGGGAAGATGGGAAAGTCACCAACTGCTCTTTCTAGGTCCTTCCTGATCTTAGAAATGCTGTCACTGAGAAACAGTGCCTGCCCAGGCCCCTCAACCCTGCTCTCCCCTCCTCTTGCGTTTTGGGGTTATGTTTTGTTGTGAGGCAGAGCCTCAAGTGGCCCGGGCTCGCGTCAAGCTCACTATGAAGCTCAAGGTGGCTAAGCTGCTGCCCCTGACACACTGAGCGGGAGGGCTGCAGGCCCGCCGCACACCTCTTCTCCAAGTGCTGCTTCGTGCCAACCCAGCTACATTCCTACACTCCCTTCCCAATTCCCAGCTATTGTTTTCACTGCCAGGGCTGCCCGACGCCGGGGGAGCCCTGCCCGGGTGCACCACAGAGGTGCGCCTGCCCTCTCCCCACCGCTCGGCTCGCCTGCCGCCCTGGCCCTGCCCCCCCCCACCCCACCCCCGCTCACTCCCGAGTCTCCAACCTCTGCATTCCACCTTCTTGACAGTCTTTTGGTCTCGGGTCTGCAGGGCGCTCCAGGAGCCCGTGGATCTGCAGGTTCGGGTCTGCACAGGGTATGGGTAGAAGCCGGAGGGACACAGGTACTCCAGAGCCTGGCCGTCTTGGAGGAGTCGGAAGGAGCCGCCTTTGATCTCCACTCCGTCCAGCGAGCAGGGGATCTGGGGCCGGGAGTCAAGCACGGGAGTTGTGCTCACCTCTGAGGAGAAAGGCTGGTGAAGACTGGCCCCAGACCGGTCAAGGACAGGTGCTGGGGACATGAGGATGGTGTGTCGTGTCCTTTGCTTACCTGAAGAGGAGAGGCCTAAGACCAAGAGGAGCAGGCAGAGCTGGAGACTGTCCATTGTCATGGAGAGCAAACGAGAGGCCAGTGGCCAGAGGCCTCTCCAGTTCGCCCTGGGTGCCCACTTGACTCCCTGTCCAAAATGAAACTCCAGTGCTGGGCCTGGCTACACCCCTTTCCCACTGGCCCCTAGTCTTTTATGCAATCTGCTCTGGCACCTGCAGCTTGGCCGGACCGGCCTACACAGGCACTGCTTCCCGGAACATTCACGAAGGAGGGCCCCCGCTCAGCTGCCAACTGAAGAAACAGAAACTATCTGAGCCCCACCCTTTGCTGACCAAGGGCCAGAACTTCCCTTTCGGAGTTCCCTCTTAGCCCCCAGACCCTCCTTACCAAGACCAACCCCCCCCCACCTTAGAGGCCAGGAACTGCGTGAGGGGCAGAGTCCAGCGCTGTTTGTGCAGCGGGTCCCTGACCTTCCTGGAATCTCCCTGGCCTCCCCCTCCCCCAGACGCAAGACAGACATGTGGAAATCACTGACTTTTTATTAATTTCATAACTGGGAAATTCCATGTGAAGGAGAAAGGAGCACCAGGGTGCACACTAGGAGGAGACTCGCACACGCGCAGGGCGAGGAGGCTGGGACAGTGGTCCAGGCACAACCCTGGGGCTTCCCCAGCTGAGTGAGGACACTCGGAGGCTGCGGCCAGGAGGGACTGAACAGTAAAGGACTCAGTGACCATGTTACAGGGGCAGAAAGTTCAACACCCCATCCAGGTGCTGCCTCAGCCAGGGCTGCAGGCGGAAAAGGCTGATGTGGAAGTCCCGAGGCTCGGTGCCCGGGGGAGGCTTCCTTCGAGAGTTCCTGAGGGAGGAGCCTTGACAAGGGTCGTAAAGACCCCAGCTCACCAGGCCCACCTGGAGGGAAGAGACAGCAGGGTGGGGGACAGTGGCAGCCCCACTCAAGCCTCCACCGCCCGGGGTTCCCTCAAAGGTCCCCCTCCTGGCCCTGGCAGCGAGAGAGCCCCCTCCAGGGCCCACTCCTCACCTGGAAAAACCTGTATCTCCGCTCAAGGAAAACCGCTCCCCCGGATTCTCCTGCAGGGAAGGAAGAGGCTGAGTGTGTGCTGATCACAGGGCCGCGCGGCCTGTGCCCCGGGAACCGGGACCGGCTGCCTACCTCTGCAAGGATTGTCGTCGCCCTCCATCCCGCTGCAGAGGAACTGCTCTGTCACTACCTCACTGACGTTTGTCAAGCTGGGGAAGATGTTTTTGTTTTGGGAGACGGCCTTGACACAGCTTGTCCACTGCAGGGGGGACAACGGGGATGTGCCAGGAGATGTTAGGCAGACCAGCGAAGCCCGAGGGGAGGAAAGACTCCAGGCTGCTCCCCCCCCCACCCCCCGCGGACCCCAGCATCCCTGCCTGAACTCTCACCTCAGGCCCTGTCCTGAGCTTAACATTCAGTTGTTTCCCATTCAAAGCCACAAAATGTGCGGGAACCTTCTGCTGGGTCATGAGCTCTGTCTCTGCATTGGGGAAAGCCCGCTTGAGGTCCAGCCTGAGGACCTCAGCCCAGCCCCTGCCGGCCGGCCCCCGGCTCAGCACAAGTCTGAGGCATGCAGGACTCACCATGGACTCTACAGGTGGTATGGCCGCGCCTCCGCAGTGCCATGTTGGCCTCCAAAGTGCAAGGAAGGCAGATGGGCCTGGGGAGAAGGGTGAGTGTCAGGCCCACCCTCAGGGCCTCCCGTGGAACCTTCCAGAACCCCGACCTCTGAAGGGTGCCCTTTCCACCCGGGCTCAGGCACCTGGCATGGGTGGACATTTTCACTCTCTGGGCCAGCTTCAGCAGGGCAATATCATCAGCATAGAATTCCTTGATGCCCTGGCTCTGCTTGGCATGGACATTAAACCCTGGGGCGATTATCGCCTTCTCCACAAGGAATTCTTTGCCGTGCTGGGAGGCAGGGTCCCCTGGGAACAAAGGTGGGTTAGGCTGGACCCAAGGCTTCAGAAGGACCGTGGTGACTCTGGCCTTGGCGAGAGGGGTCTGCTGCAGGCCCTCCCGCCCCCGCTTACCCACGATGACCCTCCACAGGTGGCGGTCCTCCATCGGAGAGTCATGGAAGCAGTGAGCGGCTGTCAGCACCCACTGGTCAGAGATGAGGGACCCCCGGCAGGTCTCCTTGCTCCTGGGCTGCAGGGAGCGGGACAGCAGTCAGGGCTCTCTGGGGCTGGATGTCTTCCCCTCTGTTGACCCAAGCCCTGCCCCTCCTCCCCGATACCTTAAAGGTGACGTGCCAAGGGGTCCTCTCCTGGTTGGAGGCGTTGGCGGACATGTTCCCCACCCCACAGATGGTGTCTGTGAGCTTAGAGACATCTGTGGGTGAAGACCAGGTGGGGAGGGAGGTGGTTGAGGCCCACCGGTCCAGACTGGCACCGTGAGCCACCCCACACACACTGACTCCCCACTATGCCCCCTGCTTCAAGGGGGCAAAGCTTGCTTACCCAGCATGTGCTCAAAGACCTGCTGCACCGCCTTCACGTCCTGCAAGATGAAGGCGTGCCTCTCGCCGTCCTTCTTGGAGCCCAGCTCGTTCAGTTCTTTCCAGTCCACGTCCAGCTTGCCCACCCCAATAGCATAGATGTCTGGTGGGAAGGATGGAAACCAGCAGAGCCTGTGGCCGAGCCGACACCCGGGACACGAGGCTGGGCACTTGAACCCAGCAAGCCGACAAAGACCCGAGCTGGATGGAAAGTGTCTCCTCCACCCCCGGGTGACCTCCTCTCCTCCTGCCAGCCAACCCTGCAGTGTCCTAGCTCCTCAGATAGGCAGGCACGCTCCCTCCTTAGGCCTCTGCTCCAGCTGTGCTGCCGTGCCCCAGACCCTTCCACGCCAGCCCTGCTTGGTTTCACATCAGGCTGGCTTCGAACTCACAGAGATCCTCCGGCCTCAGCCTCCCAAGGGCTGAGATTAAAGGGATGTGCCACCTAGGTCTTTCGCCTTGTAGGAGGTGGAAGCAGGAAGATCAGCCTTGTCTACCTAGTGAGCTGGAGGCCAGCCTAGGCCTGTCCCAAAACTAAAACAGAAGAGGGCTGGGAAGATGGCTCGGTGGTCAAGAGTGCTCGCTGCTCTCCCAGAGGACCGGAGTCGAGTTGCCAGCACCCATTGCCTGTTAACTCCAGCTTCAGGGGAGGCGATGTGCCCTTGTAGCTTCCACGGGCACTCACACAGACACACTGACACGTGGACAAAAATAAATATGTTTATAAGAAAAATAAGCAAAGGGCTGAGGACACAGCAGAGTGCTTGTCTGGTAGGCACAAGACCCCTCATTCAGACCCCAACACGGCAGTAAATATAGGAAATCTGAACCCGAACGTTACTAGTTGGACACCGTGGAAACGGAACAGAAATTGGAGTGACAACAGAGGTAGAATTTGGGGTTTTGTGGCTACAAGCCAAGGGTACCTGGGGCCACCAGGCCTCTACATAGCAAGACCTTGTCTCAAAAACAAGCCAAGAGGGGTTGGGGGTTTAGCTCAGTGGTAGAGCACTTGCCTAGCAAGCGCAAGGCCCTGGGTTCAGTCCTCAGCTCTGGAGAAGGAAGGAAAAAAAAAAAAAAAACAGCCAAGAAAAACATTTTAATTGCTTTCTGGCCATAGGTCAGCCTAGCGCTGAAGAATTCTTTGTTTCCTTAGCAGCTTTGCCTACCAATGCGTCACCTCTCCGTCTACAGCTGAAGGGACACTGGAGGGACCTTCCCTACCAGGAAGCCAGGCCCGTTCTTCCCACAGCTCTCTGAAATGTGAGAGAGACGGTGGTAGCTGAGAGTACCCAGCCTCTCTGCACATTTTCCTCAGCACCCTCCCCTACCTGCCTGCGAAGCCAACCGCCGTGGGCTGCCTTGCTTCTCGGGTGAAGGAGGGGCCCCAGTCCTCTGGAGATGCAGCCAGAGCAGGGGCCACGGGCACATCGGTGCTCGCTCTCCCAGGCGATACTCAGCCACCGCCACACAGGACTACAGGGAGACCCTCAAGGCTCGGGGCCAGGGCTAAGTCACATCAGACCCCTGACAGGGCACACCCCCCCACACCCCGACAGGCTGGGGCAGAGCCTCACCCAGGTAGTCGGTCCTGTTGCGATTGATGCCCAGGATCTCTCTGATGTTGTCCACTGCTGGCTTGGGAGAGCCACCCATGTTGGACTTCCCTAGAACACAGAAGGGGAGAATGGTCCGTCAGGGCTGACCCCAGAATTCCTTGCATCCCTGGAAGGAAACACAAGGATCGTTCGGCCATGTCAGAACACGCCGTTTTGGGCTGGAGAGGCAGCTCTTCCAGAGGACCTGGGTTCGGTTCCCAGCACTTACATGGGTGCTCACAGCTGTCTGGAACTGCAGTCCAGGAGATCCAACGCCCTATCTTGACCTCCGAGGGCGCTAGACTCACAGGTAATGCACATACATACATGTGGGCAGAACAAGATAACACAGAAAACCGAAGTTTCTGTGTAGCGAAGGAGTCGGCAGAGTGCACGGCCCACAGAGCGGGGAAGGCCCCACCCCAGACTGCAGACAAGGTTAACACACGGAATTTACGGAGAGCCGGAGAGACCAAGTACTAAGGAAAATTAACTTCCACTAAATGGGCAAGTGAACAGAACAGACAATTTTCCAAAAACTTGGGTTTCTCTGTGTAGTCTTGGCTGTACTGGAACTCACTGTGTAGAGCAGGCTGGCCTGGAACTCACAGAGACCTGCCTGCCTCTGCCTGCCGAGCGCTGGGATTAAAGGTTTGGTGGTACACCGCCTATTTTTAATCGTGTTCAATAGCCCTACTCGTCAGGAAAATGCCAATGGAATCTACGTGGAGATAACACCTCACCCCAGTCAGAACGGCTGTCACCAACAGATCTGACAACAAATAGAGAGGGTGTGGACAGAGAGGACTCTCTGCACCGTTGGTGACCCACTGTGGAAATCACTTCTCAACAAATTAAAAATAGAACTGCCACACGACCCAGCATTTCCACCCCTGGGCATATTCCCAGAGAACTCCACGCCCTGCTCTGGAGATATTTGCACCACCATGGTTATTGTGGCTTCATTCACTAGAGCAAAGAATTGTTTGTTTAGGTTTTTGAGACAAGGGCTGGCTGTATAATCTTGACTGGCCTAGAACCTGGCATATATGCCAGGCTGCCCTTTTCCTGGTAGGCATCTGCCTCTCTCTGCTTTCACAGTGCTGAGATTAAATAGCTGTGTCACCGTACCACACCATACCCAGCTGCTCGTTTTTGTTTTGTTTCGTTTTCCAGACAAGGTCTTGTATTGAGGCTGACCTCTAACGTGCTGCCTCAGTGCTGGCCTTTAACGCCTGGTCCTCCCGCCTCACCTACCTCCCCAAGGGCTAGGATCAGAGGTGTGCACCACCAACCACCACGTCTGGATGCAAGCTTCGCATACTCTCCGTCATTTAGTCCTCAGGAACCCCCAGGAAGTGCGGTTATACTTGTTTTAAAACCGAGAGAGCTTGCTGGGTGTGGTGGCACACACCTTCTAACCAGCACTCCAGGAGGCACAGACAGGCAGATCTCCGTCTGCTAACCTAAGCCTAGTCCTGGTGGGCGGACTTCTCCAGGCCTAGAATATTTCCAGCCTCTGAGGCTTACTGCTTAGCTCACCCTTTCTAGCTCTTTCTAAACTCTGGTAGGTTCAGCTCAGCTGTCTTGGCTCAAACTCCTCCTGGCTGACTGATTCAATCTGGCTTCGACCTTGGCCTCTGATTGAATTCCTCTGCTTGGCCTCATGCGTGCTTTGGCAATATATTCTAATCTGTCTTCTTCTCATTCTCATCCTCTGGCCTTAAACCTGCTTTGCCTCTGACTCCTGGGATTAAAGGCGTGTCTATACTCCAACTGGATCACACAGACCTTTGAGGTCTTTGAGGTGTGAGCTCTTGCCAGAGCAGCCTTGTTCTGAATTAAAATTCCTCTACACTGGGTGTTGGGGCACATGTTTGTAATCCCAGCCACTCAGCAGGCTGGCTGGGGAAGGCTGAGAGTTCAAGGTCAGCCTGGGCTACAGAGCGAGGTGGCTCACACCTTTAATCCCAGTGCTCAGGAGGCAGAACCAAGTGGATTTCTGGGAGTTTGAGGCTGGATTGGTCTACACAGTGAGTTTCAGACCAGAGAAACCTTCTGTCAAAAACAAACCAAGTGAGTCCCAGAGGGAGAAAGACGACCAGAACACAACTATCCTGGGGCCCCGCCCACACTGACATGGCCGCCAACCATGTCCTCCAGCTGAGGGGTCACCCACCGTCAGTCAGAAGGATGATGGCGTGGTGGATTTCCTGCCAGGCAGAGGTCTCCATGCCCAGTCGATCCATCTGGTTGTTCATCATGATGTAGACACTGTTCAGAGCCTCGTAAATGTTGGTGCCACTGGCGTTTTCATGATCTAGAATGTGCCAGAAGAAAAATCTCTTGAAAACGAAAGCAACAACCAAACCCCTCTACCTGTCGCTGGGGATGGGTAAACGTCTGTGAAACCACCAGACATGGAGCTGCCAGAGCATCTGATATTTTGCATGTCTTTTCAAACATACTGGGATTTCCAGATATGACTGCAAATGCCTGTGATCCCAGCACTCAGGAGGCAGAGGCAGGAGGATCTCTGTGAGTTCAAGGCCAGCCTAGTCTACACAACACGTTCCCCTAAGACTTTGTCTCAAAAGCCAATTAATTAGATTAAAACGGAAATAGTCATCGCATAATCTTCCATCTAAGGCCACTACAAGTTCCCAAGATGTAAAGATGGAGCGTCCGAAGGGCTTGTCCCAGCTGTCTGCTGGCTCCCAGACAGGGAGCATTCGGTGCTGAGCCTTGAGAGGCGCGTGCACGGGGGTCTGGAAGGAGCTGAGCCCTGCGGGGGCATTTGAACGGGGGCTGGCGTTGCTGTGGGAGCCCATGAAGCATGGAAACTGCAGCCAACGTGTGTGCTCTCCTTCTCTCCATCTCTCTCCCACTCATCCACTCCCTCCCTCTCTCCTTCCCTCCCTCCCTCTCTCCCTGATAAAGGGTCTCATGTAGACCAGGTTAGCCTCCATGCAGACACACCTCCATAGGTAGCCAAGGATGACATGGAGCATGGCAGGGTGTTTTTGTGGTGCGGGGGATGGAATCGTGTCCTCACGCTTGTTAGGCACACCCTCCACACCTTCGGCCCCCTCCCCGCTCCCGAACCTCTCCACAGGTGCGGGTTGGTGCTCTCCCCCTCCCCCACTGGAGTGGGGCCTCAAACCTTTATATCGGATGCTGTCTAGGCTGTTGACCACCTCTAGCCCGTTCCGGGATTTCTCATTCAGGACCGACAGGATGACCTTAGCCCGAGAAGCAAAGGTGATGATGGCGACGCTGACCTGTATCTCAAAGCTGAAGATCTGTGGAGGGCAGGAGAGACTCGGTACAGGGCGGGTGTCACAAACCAAACAAGAGCAGGTCCATGGGACATAGAGGGCCTGTACGCACAGCTCTGAGCACAGGACCCTTAGTCAGAAACTCAGCCCTCAAGAGAGGACCTGACACGTGACCCCCTCCTCATTCCACCTGCCCATCAGCTCAGCGAGGGGGCGTGATGAGCACTCAGTGATAAACTGAGCCTTGCAACTTCAGCCTGGACCATTCTACTGATGAGAGGTGCAGGAGCCATGCAGCTGCTCAGTTTTAGGCCCTAGGACAAAATTTAAATTATGTTACTCAATTTTAAGCTGCTCCTGTCCTGGGCAGTCAGAGCGCCCATCTCCCTGGGATTACAGACACACGGATTCCAGAGATCTGAACCGAGCCCTCTGCAGACGGTGCCTTTCACACACTGGGCCATTTCCCCAGTCCTTCGTTGGCCCCTGCAGTCCAAGGCTGGCTCCGACCTGCTAAAATCCTCCTGCCTCTACCATACCTGGCTTGGAATATGAAATCATTGGCTTGTTAAAAAATTACGATTGCTGGGCGTTTTGGCGCACGCACGCCTGTAATCCCAGCACTCAGGGAGGCAGACACAGGCAGATTCCTGTGAGTTTGAGGCCGGCCTGGTCTATAAACATGTCAGCCAAAGTTACACAGAGAAACCCCGTCTTGAAAGACAAAAATAAACAAACAAATAAAGCGGTTATTCAACAGGGGCTCCAGATTCTTCTGGCAGAGGCCGTAGGTTATCTAGATATCTAGATGACGCTCTCTCTGGACGCTAACTTCCTGAAAACACAGCTGAGCTCTGCTTCCTCGTGGTGTCTCCTGGCTCCCAGCCCTGGGCCTCATCCGCACTAACACTCATGAGGTAATGATCTGATCAGATACACTGGATCCCAGCCCTGGTGGCCAGGGGAGACTTCTAGAAGGAGGTGGACGGATTGGGACCCTAGCAAGGGGGAAAAGCCAGCAGGGCCAGGGAGCAGCATGGCCCTGGGCGCTCGTCTCTGACCCTGTCCACCATGAGGGAGGCGCTGTCCTTGGAGATGTTAAAGTCCTTTTCCGATATGCTCTGAGAGGCGTCGAGCAGCAGGTAAAGGTTCAGGTGACCGGAGCGCTGGATTTGGATTCTACGGCCCAGATTTTCTGAAGCAAACAAGAAATAAGGCACTCAGCTGCCCCCTCCCCCCGTGCTCCAACAAGGTCAAGCCAGCCACCCAGCACCCAGGTAACTTACCTCTCCCCTGCTCCGTCCCAGCCCCGTCCCAGACACTCACTCACCTTTCCTTTCCTGGATGGGGTTGGTGGATCCCAGCAGGTTGGTAAAGGAGGTGCCTAGGGCAGACACTACATCATCGGGGAAGTCGTAAGAGTACGGCTCTGTGGGAAAGTCACATGAGGGTCAGCCAGGACCAGGACTGGGTGGGGAGTCCCCAGGACAGAAGATACTCACGCCGGCAGGTGGGCTCTGTCCCACTCCACACCCCACCGCTCTGACACTCTCGCTCTGCAGAGCCAGTCAGCACCAGGTTTGATGAGGAGCAACGGTAACTGACCTTGTCCCCAAGGTCAAAGCTCGAGCCTGTCCGAACTGTGCCCACTGAGATGCCCGGGTTGGGACAGTGGCTAGCTGCAAGTTGAACAAAGACAGGTAAACAGGAAATGTGTGCCAGGCTCATCTCCCTTGTCCTCCGTGCCATGCTCTTCCTCCTTCTAGACTCCCAAAAACCCACGGGTTCCTCTGAACAACAAAACCCCACAGCACTGAGAGTTCAAGTCCTCAGCCACCCAGCACCTCAGCACCCTGGAGCGCTCCAGGCCTGACCCAGGCAGCATTTCCATTTCCTAAGCCACCAGGTAATGGCCACACACCATGAGAACGGTGGGCCAGAAACCTAGAGGCTGATTCCAGGTACGGAGGAGGGTGTGGAGTCGCCAACGGCCAATGCTCCCTTAAACAGCTGGAATGTCCACTGGAGAAACCCTGAGTCAGGCTGGAATCTGCCAACTTATCATCGCTCTGGAGGCTGAAGCCTGGGATAGGTGGTTCCCAAACTCTTCGTAGCCCCAAACCAGACAGACGTCACTCAAATACCGAGCAGAGCAATGAGTGATTCTCCATAATGCACTCCTGTAACACACTGCTATACAATAAAGAGGCAACATCCAGGGCCGCCAAAAGCAAAGGCCTGAACAGAGGGAAACAAGATGGGGGCTGGAGAAACGGCTCCTCCGTTTAAGAGCTCGGGCTGCTCTCCCAGAGGAGCCGAGGTCGATTCCCAGCACCCACATGGTGGCTCGCCGCTCACATGTGTGACCTTGGCTCTAAGGTATCCAGCATCGTCTTATGTCCTCTATGGGAATGCACATGTGTAGCATACATTAACAGGCACGCGCACACGCGCGCGCACACACACACACAAAAATATTTGTTAAGGAGCATATCCCTTGTGATCCCTTTTGTATGAGGTGGAGGAGCATGGGTGAGATGGCTCAGTGGGCAGAGACACTTTCTACCAAGCCCCACAACCCAGTTCCACCTTGATTATCAGGCCCTTGGAGCTGTCCTCCGACCTTCACACGCACACAATTTTTGGAGTTGTCTGCATAAACCAGGCTGCCCTCAGACTCCTCTTGCCTCTGCCTCCTGAGTGTGGCATGAAAGCTGTGTGTAGCTGAATAAATACATAGTTTAAATTTTTCCTCCCGTGGAGTTTGGAATATAGCCCAGTGGTGGAGTGTGTGCCTGGCATGCCAGAAACGCTGCGTCCCATCTCCAGTCACACACAAATTGCACACTTTAGTACAGGGAGAATATATGTCACTGAAAACAAATTATACTTCTGTCTGAATAACTGGCTACTTAGGAAAGACTCAACAGGATGCCACTGGCTAGCTGGGTGCCGGTGTGGTCCTGCTTCCCGGGGGCCAGCACCTTCCGTGAGCTGGCTGGCTGGATGTGGGTGTGGCGGTACACACAGAAGCAGTTCACGGTCAGCCTGGGGCTGGAGAGACGGCTCAGAGGTTAAGAGCGCTGGCTGCTCTTCCAGAGGTCCTGAGTTCAATGCCCAGCAACTACATGGTGTCTCACAGCCATCTATAACGAGACCTGGTGCCTCCTTCTAGCGTGCACACATGCAGGCAGAACATTACACATAATAAATAAATAAATCATTAAAAAAAGAAAAAGAAAAAAACTACACTGAGCTACTCAAAACCCTGTGTTTAAAGCCAGGTTATGGTGCATGCCTGTGATCCCAGCACAGTAGCAGGCAGATCACTGTGAGTTCAAGGCCAGCCTGATCTATAAAGCAAGTACAAGACAGCCAGGGCTACAGAGAGAAACCCTATCTTAGAAACCAAAAAGAAAGAGAGGAAGAAAGAGAGAAAGAGAGGAAGAAAGAGAGGAAGAAAGAAGGAAGAAAAAAGCCCTGTGCTTAGAAAACAAAGTGACTCCAGGACTTCTGGGAGGCCTGCCTCTCCTTGACACCATCCACAGGGCTGTAAAGGGCACCAGGTTCCCCAGCAGCTGTTCAGGAAGTCTAGAAGGCAGGACTCTGCAGGAAGAGCCACACACGGCTAAACCAGGGCCTGGGCCTCGGGGGACAGCGAGCTACTGATGGCAGCAGGTGGGCTCTGCTCCCTTGGAGCGTTGCTTAGCAATTTCAGCTCCATTAGCCCATCTGGAGCTGGAGTTACTGGCCACTGTGAGCCCAGGATGCTGGGAGCCAAACTCTGGTCCTCTAGAGCAGTAAGTCCTCTAACTGCTGAGCCATCTTGACAGCCCCACTATTCCCATTTTGCAGATGTGACAACCGAGGCACAAGAGGGTAAATGATCTGAACAGAGGCATTGAGCCCAACACTCAGCTCTCAGTCACTCACGGATCTTGTCTGTGATACTTCGTGGGGCTAATACAAGGTGTTATCTTGAAGCATTTAGAGAAGCTGACTGATCAGGTTTGGTAGCTCATGCCTGCAATTTGAACACTCTGGAGACTGAAATGAGTTCAAGGCCATCCTGGGCTACAGAATGAGCTCTGGTGCAGCCTGGGATAGAGTGAGACCCGGCTTCAAAGGAAGGGAAGAAAGACAGGGAGGGTCAGAGAAGGAGAGAAAAGAAAAAACTGCAGGGTTTGTAGAGTCCTTGAGTCAGGTATGAAATCTTTCGGCATATGCCGGGACCGGGCTCCCACAGGGCCACCCCACCGCACCCCCAGGTAACCCACGGCCAGCAAGCTCACCCCCATCGTCACACACAGCCGTCTCTCCATCCCACACGCCATTGGGGCGACAGTGCCGTACAGGGGAGCCCCGCAGAGTGAAGCCGTGCTCACACTCGAAGCTCAGGTTGCCACCCACGGGGTGGGACCCCAGCCGGGGGGTGTATATGCCGTTCTCAAACACAGCAGGGGCTGGACAGCGAACGGCTGCAGAGAGAGAGAGAGAGAGAGAAGCTGGATGTAAGGGGCACCAGGGAGGGGTCCTCTGTTAGGCTGCAAAAACATGGAAAGAGCCTGAGGTGCCCACAGTCCATGACCCCAGCACTTGGTCAGCTGAGGCAGAAGTGTCACTGCAGTTCAAGACCCGCCAGGCTATATAGTGAGTTTGAGGCCAACCACCAACCTAGACTGTATAGCTAGACCCTGTCTCAGAAACAAAGTCAGAAAGGTTGGGTGTGGTGGTGCACACCTGTAGAGCCAGCATTCAGAGGGCAGAGGCTGGTAGGTCAATTGCTGCAAGTTTGGGTCCAGCCTGGGCTACAGAGTGAGACTCTGTCTCAAAGAACCCAAAAAGCCAAACACGGTGGCTCGAGCCTGTGGAGCCGGCAGTCAGGAGGCGGAAGGGGGAGACACAGGAATTTAAGTTCTCCCTCTGCTGCAGAGTAAGTCCAAAGCCACCTGAGTTATCAGGCTCGGCACAAGATTAGATCATCAAAAAGGGCAAACAGTTAATCAAGTAGGAAAAACAGTCACTAGTAGAGAGCTGGCCAAGCAAGGGTAAGACCCGAATCTCCCTTCCCAGCCCCAAAGAAGACCCAGAAAGACCTGTCTCTGGCTACTTTATGGGTTTCTTCTTCCATCCCCCTCTCAACTCCCTAACCCTAGGTAAGAGAGACAAAGCAGAGGGAGGAAAGGAAAGAGATTCCTGAATAAGGCCAAGGGTGGGGAAGGGGGGGTTAGGTTGCTTCCTGCTGATTAGGAGTTCTGAGCTTCTTGGGGCATGTTTGGTCTAATTTCTTCTTGTTTTTGTTTCTTCTCTGTGCAGGACTATTTGACTGCTTAATAAATTACCATCAACAACGCCATCAACAGCCCTGATCCCACCTCTCAGGAGCCTAGCATTTATGTACCCTCTGAAAAGTTCCCAGAATTCCAAACGTCACACAATCACAGAAACTATCTGCAGCTGGAAAAACCACACCTCTGCCAGAGCACGAGGCAAATCATAGTCAGCTGCTGGGGACAGTCCAGAAGCAGCCCCCCAGCCCCACACCTGGGGTTAAAACAAAATCACATTCTTAGAATATGTCTGTGATTTTTAAAGAAACCAAAACTCCAAAATTGTCACTACATAGACTAAAAGGTAAGGTTACTGTTTTAGGCAGTTGGTTGAATACAGTTCCGCCTAGTTGATAAATAGCTGTCCCTCTCAAGGACTGTAGTCACCCGAGTCTCTCACCAAGAACTTGTGTGTTCATGGTGCTCCCGGGCATTCAGCACCCACTTAGAATGGTCAATAATCCTACGGTTAATTCTAACAAAATTTTTCTGTTTTTTTGTTTGGTTGGTTTTTGTGCGTTCCTGGGGGCCTTTGTTGTTTCTGGAGACAGGCTCTCACTTTCTGACCCTGTAGAACAGGTGGCCTCAAACTCATAGAGATCCACCTTTCTCTGCCTCCCTCGTTCCCTCCCTCCCTCCCTCCGCCTCCCAAGTGCCAGAATTAAAGATTGTGAGTCACCATACCCAGCTTTTACCAGTATTTTGAAACTTTCCCTCTCTCCAACTAGTCCTGGGGAACCCCCCTAACAGAAGCTCTGGGCTGACCCTGGTGGGCGCTTCCCAAAACCCGAAGGGACTCACTCACGTTTGCAGACTGCTTTGACCCACCGAGGGGATCTCAGGGTGGGCAGCGAGCTAGACCTTGGGGTCTGCCATTGTCCGTTGCTCTGACACTGTCTCCAGGGTGGGGATGGGTAGCTGCCCAGTGGGCAGGAGTAGGTGAGGAGGCTCCCAGGGGCCCAGCCATGGCTGAGGGTGAAATTACCGCCGACGATATTGACATTCTGAGGGCACGAGCTGGCTGACAGGCCTGTGGGTGTGGGGAAGGAACAGGGCAAAAAGGAGAACAGCTCAGAGGAGAGAGGGGCGAAAAGAGATTTTCCCTTTCACGCCTGACTCAACCTGACCGCATCTGCCACGCCCACAGGGCCCCTGTGACCCCTCTCCCGGCCTCCTACCTGGGCACAGCACTAGCAGGGAGAAGAGGGCCAGCAATGGGGCCATGGTATCCAGGACAGGACAGAGAGCAAACGGAGAGAAAAGGTCATCTGACTTCCCCGAAACCACAGCAGGGAGAGCTGGCTCCGCTGCCAGGGAAAGCGGGGAGTGGCGAGGGGATGGTTCTAGGGGAGAAAAAGAAAAAGAAAGCACAGGCACTCAGCTTTGGGGCAGACCTTTGACCTTCCTTAATCCAAGACAAGATAGTCAACAGATTGTGCACACTGCTCCTAGTCTCTCTCTCTCTCTCTCTCTCACACACACACACACACACACACATACACTGAAGCACGCTTGGTCTTGTGTAGCTTGTGCAAAACCCACAGAGCCCTGCAGAACATTTTATTTATGCTGTTCACTCTCTTTGTGAGTTCGCCACGTGGGTCTGATTCCTGGCTCGCTTGGCTCTTCCTCAACATGTCTTCTGAGGAATCGAAACTGGTCTTTTCAGAACTTCTCAGCTTGTGGGAAGATTTACATTCCTTCCTGGGTCCTTCCCGGAAAACAGGATCAAAAGGAAAGCAACAGTTACATAGAAGGTGGGGAAGAAGGCTTAGAAAAAAAATTCTTATTGGAACATCAAGCAGATAAAATTCCCAACTTGCAAAATAAGTAAGGGAATAAATGAATGAATAAATAAATAAGTAAATGTGGAATTGGTGTTTAAAAGAATGAACAGCATTTTAAAGTTTGAGATACAATTTTAGTTATTGAAAGAGAAAACTTTTTTCACCCGTATATTTTGATCATGATTTTCCCCTCTGAGACAGGGTCTCCTGTGACCCAGACTGACTTGGAATTTGCTAAGCAGCTGAAACTGGCCTCGAACACCTGATCCTCCCGGCTCTGTGTCCTGACTGTGGAGGTAAAACATTGACTCCCACCGTGGGCACCCTGCCATGGAGATGTTTTGTTTGCTTGCTTTTTCAAGATAGGCTCTTACTATGTAGCTCTCTCCTTGGCTGTCCTGGACTCACTCTGTAAACCAGGCTGGCCTCGAACTCACAGAGCTCCGCCTGCCTCGGCCTCCCCCGAGTGCTGGGATCACAGGCGTGCGTTCAGTCCAGCCGTGGGGAATTTTAGCCTCTGTCCTTCAGTAGCATCTGAGGTTGGTTGCTTTTCTCCTTATCATAACAATGTCAAGGGCACGCCCTCCTGGGCCTCTGTCCTTCAGTAGCCTCTGTCCTTCAGTAGCCGCTGAGGTTGGCTGCTTTACCCCCTTCCTGGGCCTCCACCTGTGTGTGTGTGCACATGTGTTTGTGTCTTTGGAGCTCAAGGGACAATTGTGAGTGGAATTTCTCAGGCCCCTTCCACCTTTTGCTGGATGGGGGTCTCTCATTTGCCCAAATTTAGCTGTGTAAGCCAGACTGGCTGGCCGGTGAGCTGCGGGGCCCTGCCTGTCTCTGCCCCCCAACAATCACTGGGATTGCAACACTGTGCCCAGGCTCTTTAACGTGGGTTCTGAGGCGTCCAGACAGAGACCTCACCTCGAACAGCCAGGGCCTCACCAGCCTAATCACCTCTCCAGGCCCATCTTCTGGAGACTGCTGACCTCAGACTCGCTGTGTGGCAGAGGCTGGGCTTGAACTCCTGCCTCTGCCTTCCAACCGCTATGGTTACTGCCACCTCGAGGATTTTCACACACTGCTCTTGTTCACCCTCACACACTCACATCCTAACCCCGTGTGCTCATCTGCACACCCACAGCTCTTCCTCACCGCAGCCACCCTGTTTCCCAGAGATCGCCACAGCCCTGAGGCCCCACAGGTGTGTGGGGGGGGGGGTGGCCAGGGAACAGCTGGGAACGGGTGACGCTGCCCCTGCCCCACATCTTACCTCGCCCGCCAGCTCTGGTACGGCTTTTCCCAAGAGCCCCCTCTGCCTTTCGATGCTATACCTTCCTAAGTGTGCAACACAGGGGCTCCAGCTGCCCCTCTCCCAACCTCTCCCCAGGGACAGCTCTGAAGTCAACTGCATCGTCAACTCCACCCCTCACGGCTGATAAGGAAAGCTGGAAGTCTCCAGATACAGGGGACAGACCTCCATGCTCGCTCTCCTTCAGGGCAGAAAGGTGAGGTCACACCACAGCGCCTGCCCCTCCCCCCCCCCCCCCCCCCCCCCCCCCCCC